AGAGAGAAGGAGAGAGGGAGAGAGGGGGAGAGAGACAAAGAGAGAAAGATGAGAGGTGGGCAGAGCCCTTTTAAAAGTGAACACAGTGCATGTGCACAGGAAGTGCTCTTATTGGCTGCTGCTGAGGGTGAATACGGTCAGAATCCCAAGGGCAGACCAGTACAGATGCCTGAATACTAACAGTAATTGTGTCTCTTAGAAATAACAGAGAAACTATATGGTTTAAGTCTCTCCAACATGATTGCCAAAAACCTGAGTAAGAATGACTGCAATAGACATGTTACCATAGAACGGGGCAAGCTCCAGGGGCCTCAGACTTAGACAAAGAACTACAGGCAACTGAGGAATTCTGAGAACAGGGGAAATAGTCTTCTCCAGGGAAGAGCAAACTAATTGGTTATCCAGTGCCAAATGGTGGGCCTGTCAACCCTGAAAATGTCCAAGAAACATTATGTAGTTTGAGCAGGTTGTATTTATATATTTAGGACTACACATGTATGCAACAACAATTAAAGGAAAAGAGGCCATGAATTTGAAAGACAGCAGGGAGTGGGGAGAGAATATGGGAGGGATAGGAGAGAGGGAGGGGAGAAGAAAATTATATAATTCTATTTTAATATCAACATAATATACATATATATAATTTTTTAAAGTACTGAAGATTTAAATAGTTAGAGGCAAATACAACAAAGATTATCTGGAGCCTGTACATTTGACATGACAAAATAATACTGAGAGATATTAAAGAAGATCTAAATAAACAGAGACACTAATATAATCAGTCATGAGACTTGATACTGTTATAATGTCATTTCCTTCAAATTAATCCATGAATTCAATACAATCTCAGTGCAAATACCAGTAGATTTCTTAAGTAGAAATTGACAAGTTGATTTTAAAATCCACATGGAAATGCAAAAGGCTGAGAATAATCCAAAAAACATTTAAAAAGAAAACAAATTGCAGACCTAACACTATCTAGCTTGAAGACTTAAAGCTGCAGTAATCAATAGTGGAAACACTAATTTAAAAATATCAATGGAACAAAATGGAATCTAGCAATTAACCCTCACTTACAAGGACACTTGATTTCTTACAGAGGTCGTAAAGCAATTCACTGGAGAAAATGTAGACTATTGTGTAACTACTACTAGAACAATGGGATATCCATGTTAAAAACAAGACTGGCAGTCCATGCTTTGTGGCATATAGAACAATCTTTTCAAAATAGATCAAAGACTAAAACATGAAACTTTCCAGGAAAAGTGGGAGAAAACATTTGTGACCTAAGGTGAGTCAATTACTTCTTAGCTACAATATAAACAAAGTGCAATCTACCCAGAAAAACTTACAAGTTTGTCGTCAACAAAATTAAAACTATGTGTTCTCTAAAGGCCTCTGTTAGACAGATAATAATGTAAGTCACAGGTTGGAAAAGATTTGAGATCATGCTTATGGCAAAGAACTTGGAATATGTTAAATGTTTTCAGACCATTATCTTGGGCCTACTGAAAGACTCTTCTCATCAGTAGCCTCAAATGGCTCTGCCAGTCTCTTTCATTATGGAACATTCTATCACTAGGACATTCTCGGGCAAAATGCCAGGATATCCTGGAAGTCAGGGGCAGGGGAAGCTATTGTTATCCAAAGACTAGACCCTTGATTTATATCCAGAAAAGTAGGAATGCCTATGCCCTGTTCAGTAGAATTAGCATGAAGGTGTGATATAGAATTATAGTAACCTTGTCTCCCTAGGTGTTGGCTATCTTGAAGCCACCCCTAGTCATGTCTCCGAAACAATTGGAAGAGACCTGGAATACAAATATACAAGAAACTGTAACCATATATCCAGTTACAGAATGTTTCAAATCTCAGAAGAGAATTTGGACTTTGGAATGGTATTGTGACTCTTAAAAAACATGGAGACATTTGAAGTGAAACTTGGATGTGGCTTGAATTATTATGTGGCCATGAGGTAGACAAGGGGTGCAGTGTTATGGTTTGAAAGTGATGTGGTATAATATCAAGTTGACAAGGGCTGAACTTATGAAGATTAATTTTATTATTTAAATTAAGAAATGCTTAGAGTACTTGGGTATGTCTGTGATGCTACTTGTAAAGAGACCTAAAAGAGTGTTTACTTTTAGTACACCTCCCTCATCAATAAACAGGTCATTCAGAATTTGCCCCCCAAAGCATAAAGGACATTATAGAGTAAATGGGCTTAGATGTCTATAGAATATTTGACCCACACTTTCTTTTCAGGAGCCTATTGAATTTTTATCTCAAATAGACCACATGTAAAACACAACTGAGACCATTCTATTCTTGTGCCCAAGTTGCCAACCATGTACTCTTTAGTAACTAATAGCATTGTGTTTGGGGAGGCACTGTGAAGGTTGAGGGCATGGATTTTTGCTTGATTATTTTTGTTACTATAATTTAATTAAATTTCTCCATCCTTTTCTTCCTTCTACATCTTCCAATATACCCCTCCTCTTTCTCCTTCAAATTCACAGCCTCTTTCTTCCTTGCTATTGCATGCATATATGTATTTGTATATAAATATATATTTCTAAATATAACCTGTTAAGTCCCATGTAATATTTTTTGTTTGTATGTATTCAGAGCCAACTTTTGGCACCAGAAAGTTGAGTGGTGTGCTCTTCCCTGTGAAGGACTATTTCTCCCAATCTTAGCTTTTCTCAGTTGCCTATAATTATTTATGTAGAGCCGTGGCTTTTTCCTGTTCAATTTGGCATGTCTGTTGGTATCATTCTTGTTCGATTCATGTTTTGGTGGTCATAATATTACAAGGAGCCAAAATCTCACAGGTAACTTCCTGATCCTCTGGCTATTAAGATCCTTCCACTTCCTCTTCCACAATGTTCCCTGAGCATTCGGTATGAGAGTGTTTTGTAGATGTATCCATTGGGATTGGTCTCCACAACTCTGCATTTTGATTGGTATTGGTTTTCTGTAGTAGTCTCCATCTGATGCAAAGAGAAGTTTCCTTAATGAGGGGTGAAGACTGCATTTATCTCTGAGTATAAAGATAAATGTTCATGGCCCTGCAGAAGGTAGAGCCTGTGTTGATGTCTGTTGTTCCTCACACCATCAAAAGCCATGCCAATGCCAGGGGTCTGGGCCCCCACCTGGAGCCATGTTGGCATCTGAGGGCTACAGCTGCCAAAAGGACCATCCTGACAGAGTGAAATCCAGGCACAGCCTGCTGCCAAGGACCATGTCTGAGTCTGTGGTCTTATCGCAGCCAACATCTGTGTTGATTCCCATGACCCATGTACCACCAAAGGCCACATGGATGCCCAGGGTCTATGGTGTCCCAGAGCCTTGCTACTACTAGGGACATACTGATTTGGATTGCTGCTGTGCTGCCACCAGGTACATGGAGATGTATGAGACCAAACTGCTGCCAAGGGCCATGTCTGGGTCTGTGCTCCTACTGCAGCTGCTGTCTGATTTGATGTCTATTGCCTGTGTTGCCACAGAGGATCATAGGAACCATGTGTATTGAAATCTGAGGGCATTCTGGCCCTGGGATCGCTGGTCCTGCATCCAGAGATCTGGCTCTGGCCCTCATGGGAGAGCTGGCCCCCTTACTCAGGAGAGATGGCCCCACGCTTCACCAATGGCATGGGAGAACTAGCCCCAATGACATGGGCCTAAGAGAGCTGGCTCCACCCCTCACCTGAAGTGGTGGTCCCAGTGGCCCAGACTGACCAGTTCAGGTACAACCCAGATCCACATCCTGGGACTTGAATTGACCCACACTAAAATCTACCCTATCTATGACCTGCTGGAGCTTGTGAAGAGACTGGTCCTATGGAATGATAGGCAATATGACCTGGCAACAGCAGGATGTCCAAGAGGAGTTTTGGTGAAGGTCTGGTGATGATGGTGTGCCAGAGGGCTTGAACCAGACCAATGACTGATTGCAATGAACATTTTGCAGGTGAGGCTAGTTAGTGAAAAAAGGTATACTGAATGACACAATGCAACACTCAATGCCACAAGGATGAATGAAGAGCTGTCAGAAAGAAAGAGGAGCAAGATGGGCTTTTGTTTTGTCTTTAATTAAATTGGGGGAGTTGTTTTGTGGGGATACTGTGTGGGTGAGGGATAAATATGAAAGGGCTGGAAGGTGAGTGGAGTTGGAGTACATGATGTGAAATTATCAAATAATCAATAAAGAATTATGTTATAAAAAGGACAAATATTTATAGATTGTTGTTAGAGATTATGCTGGTTTAGTAAATTAGTGGTTATAGATTCTCCTCCAACAACAACTTCTCTAGACTGAGTAGTGAGCTAAGTTTCCAGTACCAGGTATTTTATGCCTCTTGTTGTATAATTCAAATCTTAACAAATTCAAGAACACACACACACACACACACACACACACATGCATATACATATATATAGTATATATATATATGTATATATATAATTGTGTATAATAAGGAATAAATCCATAAATTTGAAAGTGGAATTACAGGAAGCAGAAGAAATCCGAAAATGTAAGTGAATACACAATATACCAGACCTTTGTGAGATCTAATGAAAGTGGTTTTAGTTGATAACTATTAATCCAATTAATAACTTAATGATTCACCTTAATGTCTTGGGACAACAAGAAAAGCCAAAATCCCAAATCAGTAAACAGAAAGAAATGATAAAGATTAGAAGAAAAATTAATAAAATGGAAACAAAAGAGCATTGCAAAGGATTGATTAAACTAAGCATGGCTTCTTTGAAAGGATAAACAAGACTGACAAATTCTCAGGCAATAAGAGAGAGCATACTCTAATTAAAATTTGAGATGAAAAGGGAGATGTTACAACAGCTATAAGTAACATTTGGAGGATTAGTAGAGCATACTTTGAAACCCTAATTTCTAGCAAACATCCCTTTTAGAAGAAATAGGCAACTTACTAGTAGCAAGCATTCCTTTCACTGGGTGATGACCTGCCTACTAGAACATGACTCTCGTAAAGGATCTCCTTCATCCCTCTCCAGAAGAGGAAAAGAGGAAACACACGGAAAAGAGCCTGGTTCAGAGCCCCAATTCCTACTTTATGGATGTGAAATGCCCGGAATTCTATAAAATCACCATGATCTTTAGCCATGCACAAACGGTAAAGAGCCTGGTTCAGAGCCCCAATTCCTACTTTATGGATGTGAAATGCCCGGGATTCTATAAAATCACCATGGTCTTTAGCCATGCACAAACGGTAGTCTGTCAGCCTACAGGCTAAAAACCAAACTAACAGAAGGATGCTCATTCAGGAGGAAGCAGCACTGAAAAGCACCCGATTCAAGATGAGTGGGAAATCATCCCAATAAACACATGCTCATTCAGGAGCCATCTTTCTAGCCCCTGGGTTTTTCATATGTTATAAACAAATATCAAAAGATTTATGACAAAATTTTATTTTCCACATATTTTATACTATCTAAAATATGAGAGATGGACAGAAAAACAATAGCTACCCATGAAACTTTAGCATGGCCCCTGAACATGACTGTATTCCTTTTGGTCTACTCACTTTCAGGTTAATCTCTAGCTCACTGAATGCATGTTAATGCTAACTATGCAGCTAAGGTAGAGACCAGGATCTGGGAGCTGGGCATACTCAGGGAGCCCTTCCTCCTTTCTGGAAAAAGTGAGCACCATAAAATTATTAAAGCTGATAAACTATTTGAGAAAAATAGCAGGGTATCCATTTAATGTACAAAAATCTGTACATGACTTATGAGCCAATAATGAATTTGCTGAAAAAAATTAACTAAACAATGCTGAGCAATAGCTTACAATAAAATATCCAGGAATATCTATAAGACACAAGAAGATCTTTACAAGAAATGAATTAAAAACCCAAAGCAATAGACAGAAGAAAATACTAGAAGATAGAAAAACTACTTATGTGCATAGATCAGCAGAATCAATATTATTAAAATGGTGAATACATTCATAATACCAGACTTCAAGCTATACCACAGAGCCATAGTAACAACAACAAAAACATAATGTGTTATTTAAAAAACAGAAAGATAGATTAAAAGAGAAGAATACAAGACCCAAAAATAAACCCACAAAATTATAGCCACCCACCTTTTTACAAAGATGTAAAATATAGTTTTGAAGAAAGACAGCCTCTTCCACGAATGGCGCAGGGTGGGGGGGGGACTGGATATTCACACATAGAAGAAAGAAACTATCTCTCTTGCTGTATGAAAGTAATAGCATTCAAAATGGATCAGTGACTTTCTTATAAGACCTGAAAGTCTGAAATGGTTAAAGGAAAATATTCAGCATATAGGCAAAGACAAGGAGTTTCTGCAAAGGACTCTAGTCTGCCTGAAAATGAAGCCAGAAATTGACAGATGAAATTGCATGAAATTAAAAAGTTTCTGGACAGCAAAGGAAACAATTAACTGAGTGAAGAGACAGACAACAGATGGGAGACAATTACTGTTACTTATATATGGCAGAATTTATTTTGGGGTTCTGTATTCTCTCCCATTAATCTATGTTTCTATTTTTGAAAAGTGTTGTGTGGTATTTGTTACTATGGTTGGTGGTATATTTTGAAGTCAGGTATTGTGATACCCCCAGAACTGTTCGTTTTGCTCAGGATGATTTTGTCTACTTCAGGTCTTTTTTGCTTTAACTTTAGAATCATGTTTCTATTTCTGTGAAAAATGTCATCAGAGTTTTGATGGAGGCTGCATTACATATGTGGTTTGCTCATGAATGCAACCATTTCCAAGTATCAGTTTCACTGATCCATGATTGTAAGCAGCTTCTCTATCTTCCTCCATTCTTCTCCTCAAGGAAAAATAAAACAACACAGTTGTTTAGGAAAAGATTTCCAGCTTTTTAAAAGTTCAACATACAGTTTCTATGTGATAGAGCTATTCTGCTCTTGGATATTTACTCAAGACAACTAAAAACATACTATTGTCTGATATGGTGTGGATATTTATGTCCCACCCCCAAAATTTCTCATGTTGAAATTTAATCACTGAAGTGATATTCTTAAGGACATGTGTAAATATAGGAAGTGACTAGGAAATGCAGAGTACCTACCAGCAAGAAAGCCTTAGTGAGCCGGGCAGTGGTGGTACATGCCTTTAATCACAGTGCTTGGGAGGAAGAGGCAGGCAGATCTCTGTGAGTTCAAGGCCAGCCTGGTCTTCAAAGCTAAAAAGAAAAACCGTGTCTTGAAGAGAGAGAAAGAGAGAGAGAGAGAGAGAGAGAGAGAGAGAGAGAGAGAGAGAGAGAAGAAGAAGAAGAAGAAGAAGGGAGGGAAGGAAGGAAGGAAGGAAGGAAGGAAGGAAGGAAGGAAGGAAGGAAGGAAGGAAGCCTTAGTGAGATGCATCCCCTAGAGCAGTGGTCCTCAACCATAAAATTACTTTTGTTTCTATTAATGACTAGAATATTGCTACTATTATGAATTTTAATGTAAATATCTCATATGCAGACTATCTGATATGCAACCCCTGTGAAAGGGTTGATTGACCACCTCCCCAAAGGATCACAAATCACAGGTTGAGAACTGCTGATCTAGACCCTTCCATCCTGCAGAGCCATGGGTTGAGCTAATATTCATACTTTATCATGTCTCTAGCCTCACACATTTAGTTATATCAACAGACAATGGACTAAGACTCTGTGACACAGTGTACTTAATTTAGTTTTAAAATAAGAAGAAAGGGGGGTTTTGCTAATTAAAAAGAAGGAAGAAATGGTGCCCACTTGAAGTATAAAACACATGTCTGTGAAAAAAAGAGAAATTGACAAAAAGAAGAGAGAAAAGTTTTATAGATACTGTTTATTTCAAAAAGTAGAAAAGAATGAATTGGCCTGGAGAAGTTAGGAAAATCACTAGAGACACAATTGTTCCTGGTGGCAGGAAGTGTTAATGAGGCATTTAACATTTGGACTTTGCTTAATAGCTGGGAATAAGTTGAGATGGAGTAGGCTGAGTCATGCCGATAGGAGGACAATGAAGTAAATGGTTAGAAACAGTTTTATCAATGCTAAGTGGGAACAATTCTCTTTTGTTATCTTTTATCGCTCTCTTCTACTTGCATGTATGGCATTGTGTGCTTTGGATTTAGCAGGAGTGCTTAACTACTTCCCATTTTGTTGCTCTAAAAATTTGCATTTCTTTATAATTACATATCCAGTGTGAGGTGTGACATCCTTGATTTCCCAAAGAGATTCAATTCCCAGCCCTCTCTTAGGTCTAATGAAGCACTTGGCCTCAGAAACAGAACATAAAGAAGCACTCAAGGACACATAGACAGCCAAGAACGTGCCTTAAATCTTCAACCTTGGCTTCCATTCTGTGGCTCCTGCCCTTCAGTCAGACTGAAAAGCCAAAAGCACATGGAGAACCGAGTGCACTTGCCTCTGTTTTTCCTTGTTTCCTATTCTTCCTTTCCTTAGTCCTTCTGAATGGTTTTTCCTATAAACTGAGGAACTTACCTGCTAAAGAAGATTTGAAAAATGTAGAGGAGAATGAAAAGGGGGTGAGAAAAAGAAGAAGGAGGAGAAAGAAATCAAGGAGGAGAAGGAGGAGGAGGACAAGGGGGAAGGACAATAGGGAAGAGATGGATGAGAAAGAGGAAAAGAGAGGCCAGGTGGATCTCTGTGAGGCCAGCCTGGTCTACAGAGTGAGTGCCAGGACAGGCTCCAAAGCAATACAGATAAACCCTGTCTCAAAAAACAAAACAAAATGAAATAAAATCACCACATCTGGACACCTCTCTACTCAGAAGTCACCAGAGGCTTCCTGTCATCCATGTTACAGTGGGATAACTCTTCTTCCACTCTACCTTCTCATGACTCTTCTGCACCAGAGACATTAGCTTTCTTATTGTCTATAAATAGTTTGTATACTCATCTCTGCAAAAGGGACTTTCTCCAACTTTCCTTTCATAAAATACTTGCTCCATCAAAAAGCTTACTCCATCTTCTGTGCATCTGTTTAATGATACCTTCTGAGCAAGTACAACCCAATCCACTTGAAATTGCACCTCCATAACCCCATTCTGGCCACTCCCATCATCTTCTGGGGCACTTTTCTTAGGATGTGCCATCATCCAGATTTCTGCCACTTGTACATGTTATGATTTCTGGATAGTTTTACTTCACAAGAATGTAAGCTTTCCCAAAGTGCAGATTTTTGTTGTTTGGTTCTCTGATGTATATTAGAATAGAAGATCACTTTTACTGCATAAGAGATGTGAACACATTTTCATGTATAAATAAAGCATGTACATTTCAGTTATCTCCTAATGTGTCTCATCTTTACCTCAACATCTGGTGCAGATGCTATAGATATCCAGATCTATGGGTGCTCATGTCCTGTCTATGAAATGGTGTAATATTGTTACAGTCTCCAGGACACATCAAGCCATCTCTGAGTGACTCATCAACCTGCTTCAGTGCTCATTCTGTGCAGAGTGCTCATGCTGCATTGTTCAAGGAGTTATGACAAGAAAACTTCTACACAGGTTGAGCACAGATGTGATTTTTTTTTCAAGAAAGATGTGCAACATTCTCTCACTGCTAAGTATTTGGGTTATTTCTATCATTTTACTGTGTTGTAGAACACTGCAATCAATAGCCTTTTACACACACACACACAGACACACAGACACACACACACACACACACACACACACACACACATACACACACACACATACACACACACACAAAAAAAATGTTTTACTTAGTTATTTTTTTTTACCACCCCAGGAGATAATCCTATAAATGGGAACAACAGGTATAAAAATATTCCTAATACTTTTAGCATTAGAATTTTAATACCTTCATTGCATGCAGCCAAATTGCTTTTCAGCTTCCATCTCTTACAGCAGGGTTTTAGGTTACCCACTGGTAAGATGTAGAGTCAAAATTTTTCTGACTATGGCAATTTGTGAGGCAGAAAGAGACCCATCTCAATTTTATTAATTTAAATTCTTTAAAGTCTCTTTATGCTTCTTGATCATTTGGATATTTTTTCTAGCTCCAAAGAGTCTTTGTTTATTTTCTGTTGTGTTCATGTTTTCTTTTTGGGTTTCGGCAATTTGCATCTTGAGATTATTTAGAGTTCACCATACTTCAGCAGAATTAACTCTATTGGTTATTTTAACTTCTTTTGTGAAAGTCCATTGTTAACATGGGGAAATGGGAGAGTATTGTAGTTTTATATATTGAAATATTAGTGAATTCATGAAT